ATAAAAATAGCAAATCATTAATTAAGGTTGACTATTCTACATACTACATTTAGTAATAGTATAGCTTTTAATATAAGTATAGATTAAGGTATTACTATTCAAATTATATAACAATACGTGCATATTTGTTTCAACTATTCAAACTAGTATAACGCCCGTGTATTACACGGGTGCTTGCTAATTTTTTTCTTAAAATCTAAAATTATTGAGAAAAAGGTAGTTGAAAATTTAAATAACTTTTATAAAAATATATGTTATTATATATTTAGTATGACACTTTTTATTTGTGTGACTTACTTGTGTTATATTATAATAATTTTTTTTAACTTACAGCATATAACTACATTAAACAAAAATATATCAACTGAGAAATAATTTTATTTTTCTAATAAAATTTAATAAATATTATTTTTTATTATTATAAAGGTAAATATTATTTATTTATTTTATATATACAATATGGATGTCAAATCGAAGATCATGAAAAAATGATTAATTTGATATATTATATATGTAAAACCGTTAAGAAATACAAAAGTTATCAACTTTTAAAATACATTTATAACTCAATAGCTAATTGAAGGAAACAAATCAAAAGTCAGGGATATATTAGTCACTTAGTGTCTCACTATGTAAAATTACAAAGAATTAAAGGGTTGTATTAGTACGATATTAAAATACCTAAGTTAGCTAAATAATATTTATGGAATGTCCGAACCTAGATATTAATTATTAATATATTAATATTATTTGTCCGAACCTAATTACGAAGCATGATTCTTCGCCAAGTATGATTCTGAAGCACCAGAAACAACCACGTAAGCGCATTCGGGAATTATATATAAGGGCGATGTTATATAACAATACGTGCATATATGTGTGAAACAATAAAAAATAATATGAATTGAAACAGAATCACACTTTTCACACAATTGTTAAAAAAATTTATTTTTTAATCAATAAAAATCTCGAGTTTTTAAATTTAAACGAAAATAAAAGAAATTCGGGATCTTTTTTACATAAAAAAAATATTAATAATAATAAAACAAAAAAATCCATGCTCTTATTTCATGCTTCAACCCAACTATTTACGTCTTGCCAGCCCATGATTTATCAGATCCAAATTACTATAAGATGGGCCAAGTAAGTGGGCTT